TCTTCTACACTGTTGGTGGGAATGTAAATTTGTACAGTTACTGTGGAAAACAGCACAGAGATTTCTTTTAAAATAGAAATAGAACTGCCATATGATCCAGTAATCCCACTACTGGGTGTATACCCAAAGGACTTGAACCTATTGTATCAAAGAGATACCTGCTTCATTATGTTTATAGCAGCACTGTTCACAATAGCCAAGATATGGAGTCAAGCAGAGTGTCCATCATCAGATGAATGTATAAAGAAAATGTGGTATATATTACATATGCATAATGGGATATTATTCAGCACTAAGGAAGAATGAAATTCTATCAATACCATCAAAATAGATGCGACTAGAGGACATTATGTTGAGTGAAATAAGTTGGACACAGAAATACAAACACCACATGTTCTCCTTTATATATGGGATCCAAAAGGTTTTTTTAAAAAGCTCAACCTAAACACAGAATGTTCATTACTAGAGGCTGGGAGGGGTGAGAGGGATAAAATGAGTTTAAATTTTAAAATAGAGGAAAATGGAGCCAGTTTGAGTCCTGGCTGCTCCACTTCTAATCTAGTTCCCTGCTAATGTGCCTGGGAAAGCAGCAGAAGATGGCCCAAGTCCTTGGACCCCTGCACCCACATGGGAGACCTGGAGGAAGCTCCTGGCTTTGGATTGGCCCAGCTCTGGCTGTTGCAGTCATTTGGGAAGTGAACCAGATGATAGAAGACCTCTCTGTCTCTACCTCTCTCTGTAACTCTTTCAAACAAATAAAAATAAATCTTTTTTTAAAAGAAATCATAACCATATATCAATACATAGATCAATATTATTGGAAAACTTCTAGAGACATAAGACTCAAGAGATGAAAAAAGTGTTTCAAAGACAGTCCCAAAAGATAGATGGGGGGAGAGAACAGGAGAGACAGAGAAAAGAGAAAAGGAGAGGTGGGGAAGGAGAAGAGAAAAAAGAGAAGGGAGCGAAGCAGGGAGAGAAGAAAAAAGAGAGGGAGAGGAGGAGGAGGGGAGAAAAGAGAGGGGAGGACAGAAGGAGAGACAAAAGAGAAAGTGATTAAGGAAGGCAGGAAAAGAAAGGAAGGAGGGAGACAGAGAGGGAGAGGAGCTGAGAGGAGACAAAGGGGAGGTGAAGAGAAAGAAAGGGAGGGGATAGAAAGAGAGGGGAGAAGAGGAGAGGAGGAGGAAGGGCGGAGGACAGGGGAAGGGAAGGAAAGAGAAGGGAGGTGAGAAGGAAGAGTGGTTGGGGAGGGGAAGAGAGAGGAGAGGGGAGAGAGTGAAGGGGAGAGGAAGGGCAGGGAGTACAAGGAGAGAGAGGAAAGAGAGAGAACGGGAAAGTGAGTGAAAAAGGAAGAAATGAACAGCAAAAGCAAAAAAGAGAGAAAAAGAGGAAAGGGAGAAAGAGAGGGAGAGGAGAGGAAAGGAAAGGGGATACAGCAGAAATAAAGAAAGAAAAAAGAAGGGAGGGAAAGAGGAAGGGAGGGAAGG